AATTGCCGCTTAGTTTTGTATGCAGTAATTATAAGTTTTTGGGTGCAGAATCATAATTACTTATTTGATTTGGACATATTGATCAATGCAGAGTATGAAGTTGGCTTCATGCCTAAATTAAACATCTTTCTAAGAAATGATTAAAAAAAAGGAATGAATTATAACCAGACTGGAATTTGATCTTTAATTACTATATTTTATGGTACACTAAACAAATAAATAAGGTGTTCTATGAACTGTTCTATACTGACATGAACTGTGAATAACCAGCAAATGCCATTCTATTGATGTCATATAAATTATTTCTGGACTGAAAATAACAAAACATGCCCAACAACTTGGAGCAGATGATAATTGATTAATTGTGTTGGTAACTTCTGTATATTCGATGGCGCAAAAAAAAATAAAAATTGTCCACTAACCAATAAAATTGCGAACAAGTGATAACTGTTGCCAGTAATTAACTTTTACAATTTGCAATTGAAACAAATGTTATCAAACTAACTAGTACGTAAACGGGATGTAAAATTTGGAAGAATAATATAACCTCACGTGCATTAGGATCGAAATTGAAATCATTAAAATACATAGGAACATTAAAATACATAGGAACATTGTTGAATCATAAAAAGTTCGCTAACAATCATACATTATTAAAAACCTCCTTGTACTCAACATTATGACAAACTAATATTTTCAAAAGAGACAAATCCTAAAAATCAAACTAATATTTTATAATTAGTGAACAAACTAATATTTTAGGATTTTTAGGATTTGTCTCTTTTTAGTGAACAAACTAATAATATTTTAGGATTGGTTATATGAATAAGGCTACCTGTTTTTAGTGTTCTTTTCATTCATTTTCATTCAAACAATCCGATGACTTGTATAATGAAATCCGAATCTTAAGCCGAAATATTTAAAAAAAGAGTTTTTAAAAATTGAAAAGTCAAGGCAATTAGTTCAGATTAATTAAAGGTCAAAGAATATCTGCTCCTTGAATAAAGACGTGTGCTATCATTAACCAAATATCCGGTTATTGATATAGAGTGGTTACCAAAAAATAGAACGCGATAAGGACGCTTCATGGAAATATCAATGGGAATAATGAGATAAGGTCATAATAGATCGCTATACATTTTAACGATAAAAGCTCAGATGGAATGATTTATGATAATTATGTCGTAATTAATGAATTAATTAGATGTGTGAAAAGAACAAAATTAATGAGAAGTGTGAAAAAGACATAATTAATGAGAAGTGTGAAAAGGACAAAAACTTACCGGTTTTGGAAAATATTTAATGCAAATCCGACATTGACCATAATACCTACTATTTTGGATAAATTTTAATTCTTATTATATAAGTATAGATTAAACCACAAACATTAACATGTTGTCTGAACACATAACTTATAAGTGGTAAGTGGACTATCTGCTAATTTTTTTTTAAAAAAAAAAAATTAATTGGTGCATATTGTGCTCGATTCTTATCATATTTTGTACAATTAACAATGCTAGCTAAATAATTCTATCAAAATTTGCAAGAAATTAAAAAATGTGAAGCTAAATTATATACATTTATAAGTTATGACTAAATTACCAAGATATAGAGCAGGGATGAAAGCACTATGGTTCGGTACCGGCCCAAATACGACTCGATCACAAGAGCACCGAAAAGCGGAAGCAACAAACCAGTGCCGGACCATACATTTATGCTGGCGGCAGCCGATGCAGTCGACTGCCTGAGCGGGCCCGTGAGGTAAGTAATCAGATTCGAACCTATTCCGAAGTATGCGAACCTCTCTAAAGACCCAGCCCCTGAACACACACACACACACACACATTTGTGACACACTGGCTCAAATCATGGTATTATCATGAAAAAAACCTTGAGAAAAAATATAGTAGATTAATCAATAACACAAATTCTGGTGTTAGGCTGTCTAACATTAGACAATCATACTATACTATATTTATTATACTAGTACCACATAATGATTGACATAATGTTTTGACATAATACAGAAGATCTTTGGTTTTAGCGTTTTACACATGACATCTTTATTTTTATTTTTTCTTAAGTATGTCATTTTTATTTTAATTCTTGAGAAAATTTGATTAACTGAGAACACGAATTCTGTCGTTTGTTAGACTGTTAAGACAAATATAATTTCTTTACAAAAATATGTATATATATCTATACTATTTTCATACTATTATTTCTGTTTATTTTGTTTCAATGTTTTTATTTTGTTTTCTTAAGCATGACATGTAAGTATAAAAATACTATAAGGCTATTTAAATTATACCCTAACATGGTATATCACCAAAATAAAACGTTACAGAAAAATTGTTCATTAACCAAGATAAAAAATTCTGCTATTAGCAAGTTTAAAATTAGACATTAATCGTACTTCTTAACAAACATTATATACTTTCATTGCCACAATGAAGTGCCAGTTTATATACTTTCGTTGTCACAATTTTACGCCGCATTGTCACAATTTCGTTATTTTTTATTCTAATACTCTCCAGGATTATAAAAAATATCTTTCGAATATAATTTAGTAATAATCCTGTAATAAATAAAATAATTTTGATGTAAATAATTTTGCACTTAATTGTATTTGTCAATCATATATTGAAAAATTTAAAGTAATTAAACATGTGTAACATAGCATATCTCATTCAATTATAATTTTTGTATTAAAATTATTTTAAAAATAGGGAGAATAAATGTGAATATTGATATAGAATAAAATGTGAATCTTGAAAAAATCCGTAAGACACTCTAACAACAATATTTCGTAACGGAATCAAGAGTATGTATGTATTTTATGTGTGTGTACCAATGATGTAACTTGCAGATCGCCAGTAGCCCGAATGGTATCTCCTTGCGGGCCGGGCCACATGATCCACCATTCCTTGAACTGTATCATCTTCGCCGGAGGGAATTGTGACACAGGAAATTGCAGACATTATTTATTATACATGTGGTAAATTGCCGACAAAATTGAAATATATTTCATATAGATATAGAGAGAGCTGTCTTGTATTTGTATGTATACGTGGTGAGAGGGATGAAGCCATGCAAATCTCGAGGCTAACACCTGTGATGCAGTGGGATTTCTTTATTAGCATCAGTCAGTAAATAAAGTTGTGCGGTTGCTTGCAAAATCAAACTAACTTTAGACAACTGGGCCACGTGTCTGTCGGGCCTTCTTAGAAATTGGGTCTAGGCCAGCCCAATTTTTTTTTTGCCCGTGAAATTCAGCATGGTTCTATTTTGGTTATTTTATTNNNNGGGGTGGTGTTGGTTAGCTAATTTTTTAAAGAAAAATGGTACAAATATATAATAAATGTTCATAGAGGTGTACATAACACTCATATGGAGTGGGGTCTACTTGATTTTTTATTTTTGGTAGGACCCACTTAATGTGCGTGTTATCTTCACCACTATGTACAGTATTATGTACTTATAGTATTTCTCTTTTTTAAGTGAACTGCGTTCCATGCTATAAGCAACGCCTTTATGTGCTCGTCCTCGAGTTCATACCCGTTTCCCTTAAGGATACGCGTAATATTGAAAGGATCCACCCACTTCAGTGCGTCGGCCTCTCTCCAAACGAGATTTCTGACCTGAAAATCGCGCCACCAAACCTTCTTGTCATATGCTTTCTTCATCCGTTGCTTGTACACGACGATCCGTAATCCTGTTGCTTTCCGAGCCCGTATGTCGTTTCTAAAGCCTTTCTCTGGAGCTCTCGGTTTCGTGCTCATTGAGCCTCCCAGCTCTAAACGAGCTGAGGCTTACCTCTATAGGTATCACTGCTTGCATGCCATACATCAAGCTAAAAGGTGTGTCCCAGTTGAGATCTACGACATTGTCCGATTAACTCACAACACCGGCTCGTCTACCCAAGCTCTCGAGGCCTTTTTGAGACGCTTCTTGATTCCTTGTAATATGATTTGATTAGCGACTTGGACTTGTTCCTTAGCCTGTGGATGCGCTACTCATCGAATCATTGTCTCCGCACATTACGACCTGATATTGGCACCATTGAATTGGTACTAGTGTCCGATATTAGCGTTTGCATTATGTCGTATCGACAACATATATTGGAGAACAAAAAATCGATCACCCGCTTCTCAGAGATGGTGGCTAAAGCCTATGCCTCGATTCACATCCTAAAGTCTTTCGATAGTTACCAGAAGCCACTTGATTATTTCTTTTTGGCCTAATTGCCGGTAAAATCACAACCTTACAACTTTTTGCCGTTTTAACCAACCTTTTGGAATTTAGCAAACATAACATAACCTTGTCTATTTTTTTGCAATTAGAATCACCGGGACCAATTTCGGGCTTTGTCTAAAGACGTGGTTGATGAGATGGTGATTTTTGTTGATGTGGCTGATGACATGGCGATTTATGGTGACGTGGCGGTAAGATTTATGATGACGTGGTGGTAAAAAAGTTAACAACGTTGGGGTTCAAACTTGGCACCTCAAACTTGTAATATGGCATTGTAACCACCACACTAATCCAAGTTCTATGTTAAATTTAGAAACACTTAATATATGGACAATACGTATGAATAAATCAAATTAAATTTAAAAGTTAATATAATTTTTAAAATATATTAATAAGATATAAACTTATAATAATTAAAATATAATAAAATAAATTATATAATATTAAATAAAAATAATATAATATTAGATAATAAAGTATAAAAAATGGAAAAGTAAAATAAAAAATAATATATAAATCAAATAAAATAATAAATTAAAATAAATAGAAATTTTAAATGAATATAATAAAATAAAGAAATAATATTTGAGATTATTATAATTAATAATTTATTAATTTATTATATTAAAAAATAATATAAATAAATTATTAAATTACTATATTCAAATAATATTTTTTTACTTTATTATAATTAATAATTTTTAAAAAATAATATAAATAATTTTTCTTAATTCTTTTTTCTTTTCCAAAACTGATTTAGAGTCTGCTCGGTTTATTTAAGTTAAGGTTAATAACTTGTTATATTAAAAATGGAATATAATAAAATAACAAAATATTATTTGAATATAATATTTAATTAAATTATTATATTAAAAAAAATAATTTATTAAATTACTATATTCAAATAATATTTTTTTATTTTATTATAATTAATAATATATAAAAAATAATATAAATAATTTACTAACTTATTATATTAAAAAATGAATATAATAAAATAACGAATATTATTTTAATATAATAATTTGTTACATTATTATATTAAAAAAATATAAATAAGTTATTAAATTACTATATTCAAATAATATTTTTTTATTTTATTATAATTAGTAAT